GAAGAGGAATCAAAACTTGGTTTTTTTTGTTCTGGAACATGCTGCCAACAAACACAAAGAATGTCTGGAGCATTCAGGTGCTGTTTCCGGTGTGTTCCTGAGGTTCTCACCAAAATTCTCCCTGTTGGGCCATTCTCCCTGTTGGGCTGTTCCTAGCTAGCTAGAGTAGTAATAACAAAAAAAGTACGGTAGGAGCGATCGGTTGGAGGGGGTACTACTGGGCAGAACTGGCCTCCCACCAACACGCATGATAACTCCTATGGGCAGGTGAAGAGTGCAATGGGTTGAGCCGCTGAGGTGCTCGCTAGCTAGCTAGCTATTAATAGTTTTACTACCAGTAGGATGACTGTTGCCGGCTCCCTTTGTCTCCCTTTGATGCTCATTTCCCCCCTGGGAGCCAGTTTGGCAGCCACCGCGTTTGCATTGAGCGAGCTAGCTACCGTACGATGTACTAGCTAGTACGGTGCTGATGGCTGCAATGTACTGGCTGGTATGTCATAGCTGATGGCTTGTTGAACTCCCCCACAAGGACAAATGACGCGTCTGTGAAGGGTGAAGATGTTACCGTACGACGGTACCGTACCGGCGTTATTGTCTCTGTGCTGTGTATGGTTGACCTAGTAGCTATGCGTAGTAGCTAGCCTAGCTATGCGTAGTAGCTAGCCTAGCTAGCTACCATAATCGTACTGGTACCTTGTGGCTGGCAGTAGCCATCGTAGCTATTTTTTAAGTAGTCTAGCTGGCAGTGGCCATCGATAATCGGATGTTACCGGAAAACTTACATGTAGTTGCTTGAGTACATTGCATTGTAACATGTACTCAGTATGTGCTTGAGGCTTGAGTAAGCAGCCTTATTGAAGTATTGAAAGATCGAATGGGTTTTTGTTCTCCGAATTGATTGTAGATTATTGTACATACTAGTAGTCTAATGTACCGGTACGGTTGCATCCAAGGAGTTCTACGATTAGATTTATCGATGCAATGCCGTACCGTAGAACCGTAGAACGAACATCTACATGTATTAAAATACTGAATCTGTGTACGATGTACGTATCTGTATGTCCATTTGATCCGCACTGCTCCAGTCCGATCTTTGCTCTTGCAGTTGCTCGGGTTTCGGTTTTCGGGGTTTCTTTGCCTTCTTTTGTGTCTTTTTTCTCCCCTCGGCTTTTGCCTGCTCTGTCATCGCCTGGTCGTCCGCATGGTCGTCTAACAACGGTCATCACAAAAACTTAATTCTAGCTGACCAGCCTATCTCATCGAACGGACTGAAGCGATGAAGGACCGAAGCAATGCAAAAGTGGAGCTGTCCCAAGCGATGGAACATGAATATCCATCGAGAAGGAACAGTAGGGAAGAGGAGAAGTGGTTGGCACAAGAGGGATTCGAGGACGTCGTGGATGTTGACGACATTATGACTCGCACGATGAAATCTGGCACCAACACCAACACCAACACCAACACCAACAACGGCGCCAGGCCAAGCGTACAAGTGGATATCGATGAGTTCATCCTGTTGGCAGGACAACCAGCACCCATTCCAGATGCCAGAAACCAGAATGAAGGGACACCGAAAGAAGCACAACCAGGTGCATACCGTCATGTAGGTCCTGGGTATCGGCCAGCTAGTGTTCACTCGGAGTCAAGTGACGGCGAAAGCTGTCCAAGTCCCAGTCCCTTGGCTGTGGATGACACATCACTTATTAGTAGCAATCAAACCAACCATCAGCTTCCGCTGATAACAACAGATGCTTCTTTGCCTTTGGATGGCCTGGTACAAGCGAATCCAGTAGTGGAAGAATCCTCGGACGAGATTGTCGTCACACGACAGCAAGCCATACTCGTTGATGATCTGGAGTCGCAAAACCAGACACGAAAGAAGGAAGAGCGCAAAACCAAAACAAGGAATCAGCTGGGGCTGCTGGCTTTTCTGATGGTCCTACTAGTGGTGTTCGTCATTGTTGTAATAGTTGTAACTTCGAAGAACGGCGACCAGGCCAGGGTTGACGACAACATCGAGGTCCAGTCCAGCAAGAATGACACCATGCCCGCCACAGAACACAATGATGACAATGATGTCTTTCCCGTCATCAGCCCATATCTGTCCAACGTCACTCGCCATGTCATTGAACAAGAACGACATGGGGGTGCCAGTGCCTCCTCCTCATCATCATCATCAAGCCCACAGTACAGAGCATATCGATGGCTCCAAGATGATCCTTGGAAACAAAACTATACGACCCTCCGCCTTGTACAACGATTCGCATTGGCTACTTTATACTACGCCACTGATGGTGACCAGTGGGAAAACCATGGAGTGGGAGGTATGCAAACAGTTGACTATCGAGAATTTGAAACCCCTCGCTTGCAAGCCAATCTTCCAGGTCCGATACCACCCAACCGCATGACACTGACGGTCCCATCGGAGAAGTGGCTTTCCTACAACACCAGTGAATGCATGTGGTTTACCTACACACCCTTTAGATTCCAAGCTGCTTGCAATGAGGACCACGTGTTTCAGTACTTGGACCTGCCTCGAAATGGGCTTCGGGGGACGCTGCCTGAAGAGATTGGTCTCTTGACAGGCCTTCAGAGTTTCCACTTCTATAGAAACGAACACATCCAGGGCCCCATTCCAACTTCCATTGGTGCACTCCAGCAGCTCCAAACGATTGAGCTAGGAGACAATCAAATCACCGGAACGCTGCCTAGTGAGCTTGGCTTGCTGCCAAATGTTGTCAAGTTGAGGGTCATGAACAACCAGCTCCATGGGCCACTCCCAACTGAATTACTAGGAATGTCCAACCTGGTAAACCTCATGATTGACCGCAATGAACTGAGTGGGAACTTCTTTTCTTCTAATGATGACATGATCTGCCAAAGCTGGCCCAAGCTGAGAGCTGTCATAGTGGGAAGAAACAAGCTTGAGGGCCCATTACCTACACTTGCCAACTGCTCGAGCTTGGGTGCTATCCATTTTGATAACCAGCATTTTGTAGGAACCATTCCAGCTGCATGGGGGAGCCTGACCAATCTTGAAAGGATAATCTTGGTTGGAAACCAAGGCATTTCCGGGCCTCTACCAAATTTTGAACGCCTTACAAATTTGACAGATTTCAAAGTCGCTGGGACCAGCATCAGCGGAACAATACCCGATGCACTGTGCGCACGAAAGGTGGGGTTTGACTGCTCGGCCCAATTGTGCGGGTGTGATTGTCCTTGCAACTAGCAATCAGAGTAGTCGTAATTCACCAGGATTCCCCAACTACCTTGCCAGTCTAGGCACTGGCTTGTACCGGTAGGGATGCGGGTGCTGTGGAACGGATCAATTGACCTGTGATGGAAGATAATGTCCACCTCGTCGCGTTGAACCAACGGTCCTCAGGGCCTGCTACAGATCAACCAATGATTGAATCATTCTGCCTACTAGAAAAGTATTGTAATAATCGATTTTGTTTAGCCCGGGCTGCACTACTTGTTGGAAGAAAAGCTACGGTCCCAGTGGATCAATGACATGGAACCCCTGCACGCCGCAGGGTGCTTCTCCTGTTGTAAGTTTGACTGCTTGGCAACTGGATTGTGTGGCTGTGATTGCCCTTGCACGCAACCACATAGCTATGCCTTGTTTTGGCTCATCAAAACGACATTACAGGCTGGATCATGCAGTACTCGTGAGTAGAGCATGTTGCGGGTCACAACCACGAAAGCGCGTGGTTAGTAGACGTGAGAGAATGCTTCTTGTGAGCCTGTTGCACAGGGGACAAGACCAGAGCGTGACAGCAATAGTTTGGCAATGCTCAACATGCTATGGCAAGCATACTAGCGACCTAGGGCACTGAATGAATTGTTGTTTGCTAGCTAGCTATGTATTTAGGAGGTTTCCTTTGTATTCTTCGGCTTGCTTTGGTTGTCACCTCCCCCCTTTGGTTTTCCTTGTCGGTTTCGATTTCTGTTTCGATTGCGGTTATTGTTGCGCTTGTTGCCGCCGCCGCTGCTGCCTCCACCACCACGATTTTTGTTGTTGTTGTTTCGCTTGGCCGTGGGCGGCAAGACTTCATCGGGACCCGATGGCAACGTAACACTGCCCCTTTCTTCAATGCTCTGCTTTAGTTGCCGTAGAACACGTATTTGGGCCAACTTTTGAGGGCTCAGCAAATCCCAAAAGACCCCACTGGGTTTGGGTACTCGGTTGGGCACCTCAATAGTGCGAGTGGGCGTCACAATGATATCCACTGGAACGTCGTGCTTGGTCAATTGGCCAGGAGGCATGTCTGTCACAACTTGCTCGTCGTGCACCGTCGTGACGACCAGAGTTTTGGAAGCGTCCAAGTTGCCCTGCAACGACAAAATGCCCCATTCCAATTCGGCAAATCCTTCTCCCTTGCCAACGCGAGCACCCGTGGTGGGACAAACTGCCGTGGACCCCACCACGACAAGATCGACCGTGTATTCTTCGTCTAATCCAATGGGCGTCCCGTACTTGGCGACACCCCGGGATGTGGTACATTCCTCCACTCTCACACCCGACGGGATGGTGTCTTTGGAAAGGATGGAAAAGAAACCCGTTCGCAACCGTGGTTGTGGTGTCAAGAGCGTTTTCCCGCTTTGCAATACCCATTGTCGAACTGGTTTTTGCGGTGTATCTGGATTGACTTTGATAATGCTGGCATTTTGAAAACAAGGCAATTGTTGCAATCGATTGGCGGCTCGTGCTGCACCGTCAAAGTTGGGGATTCGATGATGAACGGGGCGAGGAGGTCGTGCAATATCCTTGGCTTCCATCAGGTCCCAGATCCGTTTTCGAATCACCCACTTCCATGGCGTACGGAGCTTGGCAAATTCGGCCGCTGACTCTTCTTTCATGGCATTCATAGCCTCGGCGTCCTTGGCCAAGCGATCGGCTTCGTAGGCGGCATCTTCGGGGCTCAATGATGATGATTGCTGTGTGGATTCCTCATCCGACATCTCGAGAAGGGAGCGACAACGACATGTGGGTGATGGAGGAACCCAAGAAGATACCACCGGAATCCAACAGAAAAGGAGGGAAAGAATTAGGATCGAAAAAGACCTCTTCAGATGACGATTGATTGAATGGATAGCCATTTTGAGTCAAGCAATGCTGAAACTAATCATTCAAAGGTGCTGTTGCTCCCAGCCTTTCCTTGCTCATGGTATCAGCGAGATGATCAACCAAGGGCGTGAGGGCATGATGCCATCAACAGTCCTCCCCTTTGATCGTCCACCCAAATTGTGACGTACTCAAACACGCTGGTCACCTGGCATACCCGCAAGCGAGCAAACCCCATCACGAAGCAAGGTTTGGAGGATTATGCTGCTTGCTAGCTAGCTACTAGTAGCCGCTTTACGTCAGATTTGCCACCTTCATGCTCAATTCCTTCACTGCATGACGCTTGTCAATTCCTTCACTGAGCGACGCTTGTTATTGCCGACGAAGCGGTTGGGCGGAGCAGCACCCTTCCTACCGGTACGCCATTTACTTCCTTTAGTAACGACTATTCGGTCTCCTCTGGCCCAAACCCCGGTACAAGTCATTGTAGTATCATGTATCCTAACAACAACATCCAGCATGCTGATACTATGATTGAAGCCAACAAGGACGAGTTCAGCCCAAGAGACCCAAAACATGTAATGCACGTATGTCCTCTCCTAGCTAGTTCCAGGCACGGTACTGCAGGGTGGCAATCCGTCTTCCGATGGGACCACCACTGACACTAACGGCAACCGACCTGACGAAGATGTAGTCTGGCAAGCTAGGAAGAGGACAATGGCCGTACTGTAAGTGCTGACAGTGGTATCTTATTGTTGGGCTGTGCCTCGGTTGCCTGCAGTCTTCTCAATTTGATTACCCTCTCTGGTGATTCTCGACACAGTGAGACAAAACTTCAGGAGAATATTTGCATGGGAAAAACATCCCCAATGATTTGTGGATATGATAAAGAAATGGATCAACGGATGCTAGCCCAGCTAGAGAGTGTTCTCTTCGCTACTGCTCCTTCTTCGGAGGCCTACATTGATGAAAGCACCGTAGAGCACGGCTAAAGGATCTATGGGTGTCCATCGTTAAGAAGCGCATCCAAAAGATGAAGGACCGAGGCGAGTGGGACTCTAGATCTTAGCAGATGTTTGTCAACGAACACGGTTGGATTCATGCGAACTACATCAGCTGTACAAGCAATCTGGCTTTCAGATGGGTAAACACCCGCGAGGGCAACACAAAAGAGAGCCGCGATGAGTACCGTGCAGTACATTTTGCACGTTGAAAGCTTTCTCCTCTGATAATTTATCGATAAAAGTAGAAGACGCTAATTACTGAATTATCTGTATCATCTGCGACTCCTTCTTTTTGTGGTCTCTCAAGCAACAAGGATTCTGGTAGCCACGGGAGATACCCTGTTTGGCTTCACCCCCCACTGCAATCCTTTCCACCTTATTCTAGGCGCACCCATTATATGTTGCCCATTTCAAAATGACCTCCCTTGATAGCACAACGTCGTGTATTTGCATCCCAAGGGCATCCATTCTCCCTGGCCCACCTCAGCACTTCCAAATGCCCATTTCCAGCAGCAGAAGAGCAAGTACCTTCACCCCATGGACAGCCATTTTGTCTGGCCCACATCAAAATGTTCAAGTGCCCACCCTCAGCCGCACCACTGCATGTTCCACTGCCGCATGGGCAACCATCTTATCGGGCCCACTTTAGCAATTCAAAATGACCATATTTTGCAGCAAGTTTGCATGCCGGACTATCCCATGGCAAGCCATTCCTTCTTGCCCACTGTAGCAATTCCAGATTGCCACCCAAAGCGGCAAAACAGCTTGTTTCTGCAGTCCATGGGTAGCCATAATTTCTTGCCCATTTCAAAACATTTAGGCACCCTTGTCTTGCAGCCTCGTGACAGGTGTAAATGTTCCATGGGCAGCCATTATCTCTAGCCCATTGAAGCATCTCCAGATGCCCACACCTTGCAGCAAACTGGCATGTCGCTGCTGTCCAAGGGCAACCATTGTTTCTAGCCCATTTGAGCATTTCCAAATCTCTATTTTCTGCAGCATTTGAGCATGTATGTTCTTCCCATGGACAGCCATTCTCCCTGGCCCATTTCAATATTCCAAAATGTCCACCTTGTGCAGCACCAGAGCAAGTCCCAGCACTCCATGGACAGCCATTGTTTCTCGCCCATTTCAGCACATTGAAATGACCATGTCTTGCTGCAGCAGTGCATGTCCTTTGATCCCACCTGCATCCATTTGCACGAGCCCATTTCAAAATCTCAAAATGCCCAGCAGCAGCAGCACAAGAACATGTTTGTATGTCCCATTTGCAGCCATTCTCATGGCCCCATTTCAAGATATCAAAATGGCCATGTTTAGCAGCTGCACAGCACGTCCTTCTATCCCATGGACAGCCATTTGCATGGGCCCACTTCAAGACCTCAAAACTACCAGCCTCAGTAGCACAAGAACACGTTTGTTCATCCCACAGGTATCCCTTCTTTCGGGCCCATTGGAGGACGGCAAGACTACCAACTTTGGCAATGTGCCGACACACAAACATGTTCTTGGGTGCTTTGCAGGTGTTATCATCATTGTGCCAGTATTCAGCACAGGACACATTACAGAATGCAACACTCAAAAACGTGTCCTTGCTGGTTGCTGGCCGCTTCTCATTCGCAGAAAGAAGAACCTTGGGAGGATCCCCCACAGAGTTGCAAAACTTCTCGTAGAGGTCTTTCATCTCTTTGTTGACACCTGCCACAGTGGCATAGTGCCCCATGCCCACAAAGGGCCGGATGTTGTCCAAGAAAACATCTTTTTGATCCAACAAGTTCATGACAAAGGGGGCTTTCTCGGTTGCCTCATTGGGAGGCATGATGATGGACCAGCTTCGGTTTGGGTTGTATGTTTGACTCTTTTTTGTCAAAACCGCGGTAAACGGTGAATGCTCTAAACCAACGCTCACGCTGGTTGTTTGCCGTTGCCCTCCAAGAGGAAATGCTCTTCCGAATGATCCAGCCGTGCATTTATTGCACCCCATCCTCTAGCATAATTCTGTGAAACATTCTCTATGTTGCTGGTAAGTATCGAGAAGAAGGGGTATCAATCAATTGGATAGAAGCAACAAAACAGAGCAGCCAGAGCCAAAGAAGGTCTCGACTGGATGATCGGGTCAATTGAGCCAAGAGCCCCTACGACTGTACAAAACCTCAAATTCTTTCACACATAAAAAGCACAAAAGCCCTCTCGCACCTCTCTTATCATGAAGCAACGGTTGAAAGATTGGCATGTGACGCTCAAGATGCACGCCTCTCCAAATGGAGGGACGCGCATCTTCAAGGAGAGTGTGAGGTTCGTTTTTGGGAAGAAGGAGTTGCGTGACGACGAGATTGAGGCCATGAAAGCATTGCAAGATTCCTACTACCGATGCAAATTCGGACGCCAAGAAGGGGAAGAGGAGGATGCCACAGTTTCCTTCTGGATCAGTCTGGAAACGTTGGAAGCTCGAAAGAAGCAGGACGAGTGGGCCAATAACGTAGAGGATGTCCGATACCTTCGCATCAAGAACCGTGATGTTGGCTTTGTTCGAGCCAGTGACGAGTGCTTGCGGGACGAAATCCGAAAGAACGGTGGCAAGTCATTGGAAGAACGACGTAAGAGAAGGAAGCCCACCCAACCGGTCGAGGAGCTAGCTCTGCCCCAGAACAAAAAGCTTTCCCTCGGAGAGGCAAAGGAGGTCAAACGATCAGCGCTCAAGGCGGGCAAGGAATGGACGGAAGAACTCAAAGAAAGAGCCCTGACTGTTGCAGAAGAATGGGTCGGCGAAAGCGCCGACTGGACACAGTCCTTCATCAAGAGGAGCATGGCTGAGAAGTTGGACCAGGATTTGGCAACTTGGCTGGATTCGCAGCGTGGCAGTCTCTGCAATAGCAAGCCATATGCTGATGACTATGACAGATTCCGAGAAGAGGTGATGGAGACTATTGTGGTTGACGGTGTCAATCGAATGGGCAATGCAATGGTAGAGTGGTTTGACAATCAAACCAGAGGATCATCGCTGGGATTTGGCACTTCCCGCCCATCCGCGTCTTTGGTCGACATCAGGGACCCGTTTGGCCTTGGAAGCACCAACTCGTTGCGTGGAAGTGATTTTGAACCGATCGGTTGGGACACATCTTCGACGCAAAGCCTGAGCCGGCTTGATTCCGAGAGCATTCTTTCCGGTTTTGGTTCAGAGTTGGACGATTCCACCAGCGTCACCATCATGATGAACTGCGATGACAGCACGAGCTTCAGCTTTCAAGAGGAAAGGCAACGTCATTTGGCGTCAACGACAAGGGGACGCCCGCACGAAGTCACCGGTAATCCTCCGCCTCCGGATTGTGTGGTTATTCGTGCTAACCGCGACAAGGGCCGCCCGACTCCGCCCGTCTCCACCAGGAAAGGCGCAAGCTCTGCTCGGAGGTCAGCATCAGAAAAGGCACATCAAAGTATCCATGATACCAAAGGAGAAGTCACTGGAACTGTGGGTGACAGTGGAACCGAAAAAGTCTATGTGAGTTACAGCAAGGCCGAAGGGCCAGGACGACGCACAGCGCAGACAGAAGACGGTTCTCCGAAAGGCGGTGGTTGGTGCGACAACAGCAAGGAGCGGACATGGGTAGTCGACGACGACTCCCCTGCTGATGACAACGGAGGTGATCCTCTCAGCATTCTGTCCAAAGGTAGGGCCCGATTCCGAAAGATGGGTTCAAAGTGGATGAGAAATATTGCTGAAGATTAGCTGGACTCCTGACCATCGGATATTCTTTTCGAAGGTGGCAACCTTGGTAGTGGTGGCGATAATGAGGAGCCGGCATGGGCAGCCAGCGGAGTCTCCCCTGCTAGCAATGGAGGCGATCGCCTCAGCATCCGGTCCAAAGGGAGAGCGAGTTTCCGAAAGAAGTGGATGAGGACCATCGCTGAAGGTTAGTTGGATTCGTTCCTACCCATTACATATTATACTTTCAAAGATAAGATTAGGAAGCTGTATTAGTTACAAGTGCTGGTGCTTGTAGCGATACTGGTACTCTTGGGATTCCGTTACTTGACCAACAAGTACCAGTTATTGCACTGTGGGGGCTGGGATCCCACACACAACGGTCCACATGTGAGAATAGACCGAGGCTTTCAAGCTGGCCACGGTCTGCTGCAACTGAGCATTCCTGTTCCCTTCATGGCTCTTTTTCTCCGCAGACAACAACAGAGGGGATCGCCTGCACCAACAAAGCAATCCATCTGACTCCAGTTCCATCCGGGACTTTCAGTGCCCTCTCCCTCACCAAAGACAAATTACACAGCTTTGCACTGGCTTCTAAAGTTTAGATCCAAAAAGAACCGTTTCGTCATTCTGCAGCAGATGGGATTTCGGGACTTCTAACCAAGAGATACCATGCCTTGATCCTTGATGAAGACGCTGTAACTAACATCCATGCATCCATGCTGTCGAGAACTCGTGTCCTTCTCAACCCCGTTAACCGTGTCAACGCATCATTTGCGT